GTATAAACCTATCTATAAAGTTTACGAAGTGATTGTCTACGAAGTAAAACACCAGATATTTTCCTGGATTTTTTTATCAATTAATTTGACTTTCGTTTAACAGTGCCGCGTTACTTCGTAGACACTTATTTCAAGAAAAGTTCGTTTTGTAGATAATCAATTCAGACAAGTACATTTCATAAACAAGTAAAGTATTGATGAAATTAACTTGTCTGTGAATTGATACTTGCCTATGAATTAACTTGTCTGTGAATTGATACTTGCCTATGAATTTAATTATCTACAAGTGATTGTCTATGGAGTAAAATGGCGCCAAATATTTTTTCGGATCTTTTTTATAACTTTTTTTTTTTAAATAATGCCGTAGATACTTTATTTCACAGACAACTGGTTCATAGAAAAGCTTATTTTACAGATAATCAATTCAGGCACGTTCATTTCATAGAGAAGTGAAGTAAATTGTCTATGAAGTGAGCTTGTCTGGCGAATGTGTCTATGTAGTTATTGCGATAGTTATATCGATATGGATTCTTACTAGTGATACTGTAGAATCGTCTCAATGAATTTTACGACATACGACCAGTTATGATCACGATTACGGCAAAAGCCGCCGTACGATCCTATTGTATCGTAGCTTTAATTAGCTTCATAGCTTTAATTAACTGCATAACTTTAATTAGTTGCGTAGCTCTGTAATCTTAATAAGAACGTGATCTCAATTTTAAACTATAAATTACATCTAAAATAAATTACATATACTTCTACGTAATTCAAAATTTATTTATTTTTTTTTAGTGAACCTTTTTATAACGAAATGCTCTCAAAGATATTATCAATCAAAGTAAAATAATTCATAACAATAATATACAGTACCAAGAATCATACTCTTTATATCTGAATCTAATAATATCATGGGCCAATTTTTTTACGCATCCATTGATTCAAAGTAATAACAGTGTTTATATAATAATCAGTCTGAAGAAGAGGCTTCACTTCAAAATTACTTAAAATAATGTAGTGAACCTAAACTAAATCAAGCCTGGGATTATGTCAATATCTAGGAGATGAACGTTATGGTGTGTTGCTTTCATATTTGGATGCATGAAAACCTACAATCACTTAGTCCATGAATGTCAAATTGGGGTCCAAAAATTAAATAATACAGATTTTATGCATAGATCAGCAAAAATTGATTAGTATTTAAAAAATCGCATACTAACAATTTTTCTGATAATTTTTGCGGCAAATGATTATTATGAAGTTGTAAAAAATAAGTTACAATTTAAATCCAGTTCATCCTAAAAATCAAAATTTTGAGTAAACAAAAAGTAATCAAACTAACAAAGCTCGGTATTTTGCTAAATAAATAATATATTGGGTTCTTTGGGACAAAGAACAAACTAATACCATACAGTATTACAATCTTCGAACAAAATTAAACGCACAAGAGACTGTATTTTCACCATTCCTCAGACCTTTGAGCCTTTTCTTACCTTTAATGGTCACTCCTCTCTAACTATGGATGCACATACCTCAACTTCTAACCAGTCTTCTCACTCTTCTAACCAAGCACTTAACAACCCCCCTCCTGCAAAAAGAAGCAGACAAAATGATCACAACAATACAGTTACTCAAATAAATTACTCTTTGACTACTTCTACTCCAATTGCTCTTACAACATAATTACAACAAAGTAGACAAAACACCATACCCCAAAAAACAACAAATCGATCGGGGCCCTGTGCACGTCCTAGTTAGCATGGAGAAAACCGCAGAAATTCTTATGCCAATCATCACAACAAATACTGTTTTCAATTTGGTACAACAACCTACCTCAGCAGTCGATTTACAACCTTCTGATCTCTCGAGGCTTTCCGGATCTGAGAACACACTTACAACCGAACCCAACTTATTAATGGCTAACAATCTTGCTCTTTTATCTGACTCTACTTCCAACTCCCAACTCCCACCAAGATTTACCCATAGACACTTACTCAAATGCTACAATCGAATTATTACCAAAAAAAATTTTATGCTACTGTACTTACGGGTAACCAAAAACTTAATTAGTGATCCACTAGTCAACCAGAGAATAATCATAGTAAAATGTGACTCAAATTACTTATAAAAATTAAGGGTCTCCAAATATGGTGTGTGCGCATTTAAAACCTTTTTTTATATTAAGTTAATCACTTTTCTAACTTAGGAGACTTTTGTAGAGCTTGTCAAGATGCA